CATCATAATTAGATACTTATTTCTTCTTTACAAAATTCCATACAAAATTGAATTTTGCACATGCATAAAAATTATTGTGATTTGTAAGTATCTTTTAAGCAAGTGAGATGAAATTCGATACTAATATTATTTAACCTAATTTGTGAAAGATTTTCGTTTAAGAAGAAATTTTGCTTCTTTATCTTTCCTCATTCTTTTCGTCGAGGATATTACGAGGGCAGAAATGATTATGAGACAGATACTGCAATAACTGGAAACTTTATACAAGTTTAAAGGATACGCAATAATTACTTTGCGTTGAAACATTTAATCGCATCGTTGACTTTTCCTATTTTCTTGAAAGTTTGTGAAATGGATGTACATTCGACGCGACAGTGTAATGCGGAAGTTGCACCTCGAACCGGAAGAAAATTTGTTTAATTGATAATTATTCGAGTTGAGTAGTTTTCTCTTTTATCAGAGATGTGCTTCGATGCTGTTCTTTGCTTGTGAACGAATTAGAAATGGTTTATTTCTGTCGTAGAATTATTTTTTTTTTTTTTTGCAGTTTTATTAATTAAAGATCTGATCGATGTGAAAACATTTTTTTAACGTTCGTACGAGAAAAATATTTTCAAGTAAATGAGATAAATTGTGTAATAGAGAATCTGTATAGTTATTTCCTAATTTTTTATCCAGAAAAACCAATTTTAACCCAGAAAACAGTGTAAAGATGTTTAATCGAATGCTTCATAAAACCTAATTGTCGATTTGAAAGTGGAATAGGTATTTAGCGCAATAATTACACGATTGTTCGATTATTCCAGTAAAATTGTCTGTCGATTTCGTATATCTTACAATGGAACGTTTCAGTGACGATAGATAAATCGATCATAAATCTGTAAAATTTTTTTGTAAATCTGTTTTTGCATATAAAGTATAAAAAAAAACAATAAAATGTTTATAATCTAATCTAACAAGTATTACATCATTCTTTCTTTCCTCTTAATCGTTCGAAATTAAATTATTTAAAAAAAAAAAATATAAGAATAATTTTATTTTATTCAAATCCTTACACTTGTATGTAAAAAATGAACACAGCGAATTTTTATAATTGTTCAAGCAATTTGACTTTAAAAATTTGCATCTGTCATTCGAAAAATAGAAACACAAATTAAAGGAAATTAAAGAAATATAGAATCAAAAGTGGAAACAAATTTAGTTTAGAGAAGAATGGTTATAAAATATTTATTGATAAATCGTGAATCGTTAACAAAGACTCGTGTGCAGTTGACAAGGATTTATAAGAATGATGCTACGTCAAAACCACGTATTTCTGATAGATCAAAACGGTATTCAAGTGGAACGCGAATCAAAAATGTGGGCGATGTCTTTCAACAGATTCTGAATCTTTTAACATTTTAAATATTAGATTTTTCATTGGTAAAATTCAATGCAAAGCAGCGTAACATTAATAAAATAAATTTCAAAAAATGAAATGTATCGGAAACATGTTACGAACGATTCGATAATTGTAATAAATGCATAGAATTTCAAAGAGATTTCATTATATCCTCATAATAATTTAAAAAAAAAAAAGGTTTTTAAATAACTTTTTATTCTCTTTACAAAATCTTTTATCGTTATTCCTGGCAAAAAATGGAATACATTA